TGGAAAATAACTATTCTTAGTTAAATTTGGCCTCAACCCATGAATCGGCACTCTGCTGCATCATTCACATAGGCACCTTTCTGCCTTCAAGGGCAGAGGGGAAGAGAGTGCAGATTTTTTAAGTACTCAAAAAGAATAATTCAGACTCCAGGTCCAGAAGGTGACACCCATCAGCCTGCAATGTGTTAAGAGCCAAGCGGGTTGGTTTGTCCCAGGGCCAGGGTCCCGGGCAGCAGGGCTCAGGTCAGATAGCCAGGGCACTAAAGACAAAGAGAAAGCTTCCATCCAGCGGCAGAGGCTGAAACTGGGAGTCAGGACCGCAGTGCAGGCTTCCCACACAAGGTAACAGAAACCTAGCTCCTGGAGCCATCACTACGGCCTCCCACGGTGCTGATTAGCAGGAAGCAGGAGTCAGGAGCCAGAGCCAAGGACTGAATGCAGACGCCCTCGAGAGTGGGGGGGACATGGGTTCCTAACTGGCATCCTAACTGCAAGGCCGAACACCCAATCAGAAGTAGACCAGTACTGACACTGTGGCTCAGTGGATCAAGCCATTGTCTGCAAGGCTGGTATCTCCTGAGTGCTAGACCAAGTGCAGCATCCCCTATCATGGTGCCGTTTACGTTTCTGACTGCCCCACTTCTCATCCAGCACCACGATATTGTGCTGAAAGCACATGTGGGAGATGTGGGAGAACAGTGGAGGATGACCTGCCATCTACGTGGGAGGCCCGGACGGAGTCCCCAGCTGCTGGCTACGGCCTGGACAAACACCTGTCATTGTAAACATTTGGGAGGGAACCAATGGATGGAAAGTCTCTCTCTCTCTCTCTCTCTCTCTCTCTGTCTCTATCTCTCCCCCTCCTTTCTGTAATTTTTGCTTTTTAAAATAAATCTTAAAAAGATAGTGGACAGCCTTTCCTCAACATAGATCTTTTAAAATAATAATGAAATTATAATAATTGCTAGGCAGGGGTTAATGATATTCTATTTTTTAATTTGCTTTTTGAAATGTAAAAAGAGAAAGACATCATCCATCCAGTAGATCATTCCTCAAATGGCAGCAATGGCTGTGGTAAAGCCAAGCCAAAGCCAGGAGCCTGAAACTCCACCCAGGCCTCCCACACGGGCACGGAGACCTAAACAGGCCGTCCCCCGCAGCTCCCCAGGCACGTTAGCAGGGAGCTGGGCCGGAAGCGGAGCAGCCAGGACTCTAACCGGTACTCTGACAGGGGCTCCTGGTGCTGCATCACAACTGAGGCCCTGAACTGAGTGATACTGCACACATCGTGTATGATACTGAAGGCAATCAATCTAGACCTATTTAAGGAAGCAAAATTTTCTCTGTCTCTAAAAAAAGTAAACCAACAAATCACGTGATAATGTTAAACAATAGAATGCTTTTAAGAGTGTTGATTATTACAGTTATACCCAATTTTCCTTCTTTTTTTTTTTTAAAGATTTATTTATTTTTTGTTGTTGCTGAAAAGGCAGATTTACAAAGAGGAGAGTAAGATCTTCCATCAACTAGTTCACTCCCCAAATGGTCACAACAGCCAGTGCTGAGCAGATACGAAATCAGGAGCCAGGAGCTTCTTCTGGGTCTCCCATGTGGGGGCAGGGTCCCAAGGCTTTGGGCCGTCCTCTATTGCTCTCCCAGTCCACAAGCAGGGAGCTAGATGGGAAATGAAGCAGCCAGGACACAAAACAGCACCCATATGGCATCCTGGCACTTGCAAGGATTTAGCTCCTGAGCCAGTGCGCAGGCCCCAGTTTTCCTTCTAAAAGTAAGATTAATGCACTTGGGCCTGGCGTGGCAGGCTAGCAGATAAAGTGCTGGCATTGATGTGCCAGGATCCCATACAGGCACCAGTTCTAATTCCAGCAGCTCTGCTTCCCATCCAGCTCTCTGCTTATGGCCTGGGAAAGCAGTGGAGGACAGCCTAAGGCTTTGGGACCCTGCACCTGCATGGGAGACCTGGAGGAAGCTCCTGACTCCTGGCTTCGGATCAGCGCAGCTCCGGCCGTTGTGGCCACTTGGGGAGTGAATCACTGGAGGGAAGATTTTCCTCTCTGACTCTTCTCTTCTCTATATATCTGACATTGCAATAAAAAAAAAAAATCTTTAAAAAAGGATTAATACACTTAATGTTTAAATGGCTACTGCTTAGTCCCAACATTGCCAGCATTTAGTTGTAAGACACAAGAAGCTCCCATCCTTTCTGAATCTCATTTACTTCACAAGGATATTGTAACAATCGGATGAGAATGTACATATGAAAGTACGTCATATTAACATTTTTAATGGAAACTAATAAGAATCTCTAGGGTATTTTCTGGTTTTGAAATGCTGTTATACAGGAATAATTACAATGTTTATCACAAGCAGAGTCCCTTTACAGACAAAATTAAACCACCCTAAGGTGAAATGACACAGCACGGAGGTTTGCTCCGCAGTGATCCACTGGGAACAATCAGGTCAGTCGTAAGCTTAGGTCCATATTCAATATTCTTGCAGCTGTATTATGGGTATCTGGGAGTTTGCTAAAAACAAAAACAAATACAAAACACCATTCTGTGTGCTTTTTATGTCTGAAACTTCCAAACTGAGAAGAGTTCAAATAATTCAGGCTATTTGGCTGAGATGTCCTCGGTGTCCTGAACTGGGCTGTGACTGTCTGCAGGCAGAGGGAGACAGACAAGCCAACTCTTGTCATCTGGTTCGCTCCTCCAGGCTCATAGCAGCCAGAGCTGGGCGTGGCCAAAGCCAGGAGCCAGGAATTCCAGCCAGAGCTCCCCTGGGGGGGGAAGAACCCCAGTGATGGAGCAGGAAGCTGGAATCAGAAGCAGAGAGGGGCCCAGCGGCGTGGCCTAGTGGCTAAAGTCCTTGCCTTGAACGCACTGGGATCCCATATGGGCACCAGTTCTAATCCCGGCAGCTCTACTTCCCATCCAGCTCCCTGCTTGTGGCCTGGGAAAGCAGTCGAGGACGGCTCAAAGCTCTGGAACCCTGCACCCGTGTGGGAGACCTGGAAGAAGTTCCTGGATCCTGGCTTCGGATAGGCATAGCATAAGCCGTTGCGCTCACTTGGGGAGTGAATCATCGGACGGAAGATCTTCCTCTCTGTCTCTCCTCCTCTCTGTATATCTGACTTTCCAATAAATCTTAAAAAAAGAAAAAAAAGCAGCAGGGCCCGGCGCGGTGGCGCAAGTGGTTAAAGGTCCTCGCCTTGCACGCCCGGGATCCCATGTGGGCGCCGGTTCTAATCCCTGCAGCCTCGCTTCCCTTCCAGCTCCCTGCCTGTGGCCTGGGAAAAGCAGTCAAGGACAGCCCAAGGCTTTGGGACCCTGCACCCGCGTGGGAGACCCGGAAGAGGCTCCTGGCTTTGGATCGGCATAGTATCGCCCGTTGCGCTCACTTGGGGAGTGAATCATCGGACGGAAGATCTTCCTCTCTGTTTCTCCTCTCTGTATATCCGCCTTTCCAATGAAAAAATAATAAAAAATAAAAATCTTTAAAAAAAAAAAAAAGCAGCAGACAGGAGCTCTGACACTGGATGCAGGCATCCCAAGCAGCTCCCACCACCTGATTCTCACATTAGCACATTGAAATCCAAGCAGCGGCCAAGGCTGTGGCCAAGGCTTGGGAAAAGGACTTTAGGCTTACCCAATCAGGAGCTGCCAGCTAACTGGTCATTGGAAACCTTCTGCTTTAACACTTTACTCCCAGACAGTCCTACCCCCGAGAATGCAAAAGCTGTACTTTTGTCCTGGCGCAGTAGCCTAGTGGCTAAAATCCTCATCTTGCACATGCCAGGATCCCATATGGATGCTGGTTGTAATCCTGGTGGCCCCACTTGCCTTGTAGCTCCCTGCTTGTGGCCTGGGAAAGCAGTCAAGGCCGGCCCAAAGCCTTGGGACCCTGCACCCGTGTGGGAGACCCAAAAGAGGCTCCTGGCTTTGGATTGGCTCAGCTCCAGTCCATTGTGGCCACTAGGGGAGTGAACCAGCAGATAGAAGATTTTTCTCTCTGTATATCTGACTTTCCAATAAAAATAAATAAATCTTAAAAAAAAAATACTTGAAATTTTAATCTTGGCACCACAGGTATGTCCCAGCACCTGGGCATGGTGTCTGCCTCTGGCCCCGGTCGGTGGGGATGGCTCTGATGAGGGCATCTCACCCCATGCTGGAGACCTGGAGGGCACCCCTGGCTCCTCGCCCCAGCCAGAGCCCTGTGTGCAGGACAGAACCAGCAGCTGGACGCCTGTTCTCAGGCTCTAAATTGCTCTCTGCCCCTCAAATTAACTGAAACTTTTTTTCCCCCAGAGCTTGCCAGCTGTAGCTGGCACACGCAGCAAGCCACAGCTCCCTGTCAGCCACACGGGCACTGTGGGAAGCACCCAGTGTCCTATAGGGGGCGTGTGTGTGAGGTGCACTAACCCCATTTGCAACCTACTGACAGTTACAACCTACTATGTATGGGTTTCTTGGGACATATCCCCATTGTAAACCCACGACATAACGTGGAATCTTCATTTTTTTTCTTTTTAAGATGTATTTATTTGAATAACAGAGACAGAGAGAGAGAGAGAGAGAGAGAGATGGAGAAACAAAAAAATCTTCCATCAGTTGGTTTACTCCCCAAACAGCCAGGGTGCTGGGCCAAGCCGGAGCCCAGAGCTTCCTCTGGGTTTTTCCATACGGGAACCGGAGGCCTTGCTCCACCGTCCCCTGCTGTGTTCCCAGGCTCATTAGCAGGGAGCTGGATCAAAAGTGGAACAGACAGGGGGACAGCCGATGCAGCAGCCCAATGGGATGTCAGTGGCGCAGGCGGCGATACCAGTCCCCTAACCTAGAATCTTAACAGATCTTTCCCACAGGAATTTCTGGATATGTTAACAATTTTGCTATTTAAGAATATCACATTCCATCAGTATGATTATTTAAAATCATGACGATTTGATAATTCTCTGAGGGAGAGAACTTGACAGCAGTTACCTTGAAGATGTGAATTCTCCAGAAAGTCTTCGTGTGTTTCTTTGGCCTCACCAGGTTTTGTGGATCGATACTCATTCCTTAGAGAGATCCTCCACCACCTGAAGATGAGCTGTAATTGAACACAAGGCGATTGAATTCAGCCAGCAGATACGGTAAGCTGTAGTATGCACATGTGGCCACGTACCCAGCATCAGCTATAGCTTTGCCATCTGGCTTCACACCCAAATAGAAGGCAGACTGGGGTATCGGTGAGCATTTTCCTTGGAGATCAGGGTCCCAAAGTCACTGAACTGGAAGGGATCTGGAACATCTGTCAGGGTAGCCAGCGCTGTGACGCAGCACACTCAGCTGCTGTGCGGCCAATATCACGCCTGAGCACCTGTTGGAGAACCTGCTGCTCTGCTTCCCAATTGCTGCTTTTATGCTTGGCTTGCTGACTGGTGCCTCGTTTCTGGCAACTGCAAACATTGCACTTCCTATAAACATTGTGTCCCAGTGTGAACAGGGGCCTGCCATTCCCTGGGATGAAGATTCAGGGCTGCGACTGCTGTATCATATGGCAGTTGCATCTGTAGCTTGCTTGCTTGCTTTCAGCTAAAATGCTAGACCTTAAGAGGTCAATGTGGGGCCCGGCACAATAGCCTAGCAGTTAAAATACTCTCCTTACATGCGCCAGGATTCTAATCCCAGCAGCCGCACTTCCCATCCAGCCCCCTGCTTGTGGCCTGGGAAAGCAGTCAAAGATGGCCCAAAGCCTTGGGACCCTGCAGCCATGTGGGAGACCCAGAAGAAGCTCCTGGCTCCTGGCTTCGGATTAACTCAACTCTGGCCATTATGGCCACTTAGGGAGTAAACCTGTTGATGGAAGAACTTTTTCTCTGTGTCTGCTTCTCTCTGGAAAAATAAAATAAATATTAAAAAAAAAAAAGAGGTCAGTGGGTGGCACAGCATGTGTGGCACTGCCTGTGACATTGCTAGCCCATCTGAGCAGGGATTCGACTCCGGGCTGCTCTAGTTCCAATGCAGCCCCCTGCTAATGTGCCTCAGGACACAGCAGAAGATGAACCAAGTGCCTGGCCCTTGCCACTAATGGGGGAAATCTGGATGGAGCTGCACGCTACTGCCTTTGGCTTGGCCCAGCCAAGCCATGGCAGCCAAGCAGGGATTGAACCTGCGGCTGAAATACTCTGTGTGTGTGTGTGTGTGTGTCCCTATATGTAACCCTACCTTTCATATAAGCAAATCTTTAAAAAATAAAAGGGTTTAGTCAGCATTGTAGTAGAGCGGGTAAGTGGGTAAAACCGCCCACCTGCAGTACCAGCATCCTGTAAGGGCACTGGTTTGAGTCCTGGCTGCTCCACTTCTGATCCATCAGCTCCCTGCTAAGGCAGAGTCACAGAGAAAATCTTGCGCCTGCTAGTTCCCTGCTAACTCTTTCTTTCAGGCAAGTTCTTACGCTCCTTTTCCTGGCACAGCACACCCTGCCAGGAAGTCTGAGTCCCAACCTTTGCGAGGGAAAGAAGAGGGATCTCGCAGTACCTTTTCTTTATCCTCCACCCTGCTCCAGCCTGCAGCGGGGGCCAGCCTCTGGTCTCTGCTATTCTGAGAAGTTTAAGAGCCATTTTTTTTTTTACCTGTTTCAAATTGCTAGTCCTTACTGAGTATATTATTCTGGACCAGCAGTTTTTTTCCTTTTAGAATCTGGAATATGTCACTCCATTTCTTCTAGCCTGTAAAGTTTCCTGTGAGAGGTCAGCTGTGAATTTAACTGCCATTTCTCTATATGTCAATTGATTTTTTTTCAGGTGCACAGTTAAGGATGTTTTCCTTTTCATTAACTGAAGGGAGTTTGATTATCATGTGTCGGGGTGAGGGTCACTTTTGGTCAACCCTGTTGCAAGTTCTGTGCCCCTTCTGTATTCTGTTTCCCAATTATTTCTCCAGATTAGGGAAGTTTTTCTTTGTTATTTCAAAGGATTTGGGGAGGGAGTAAGGGAAATCCCAGAGCCTTTGAGACTATATCATAAAATAATAATTTCTAAAATGGGAAAAAACAAACAAAGCAGTTAGAGAGTGAGAAAAACCTGCTAGTCCTTTGTAGTTACCAGTGCGCTTTAGAATAAACCCTTCCTGGGAAAACGGCCAGTGTGGTTTAAGTCTCCTGAACAGGCCTCACTTAGGATGGCAAGAGGCAGTTAGGGAAGTCCCTGTCGCAATGAGAAGACGGACAGTCCCTGCAGGAGTGGGTGGGATGCTGGCTCCTGCCCCAAAGCTGCCTCTAGCCAAAAATACCAAGCTCACCCCTCTGGGATTCAAGTTTTACCATGAAAATAGAACAAGTTACCTATTCTGCCTCCCAATGGCTTTTTTTCTTATTTATCGATTTTTTGCTTGTTTAATTTGGACAGGCTAGATGGGCTCAGCCTCCGATTGTCTTTTGCCCTGAAGGGCTTGTCCCCACACTCTGCATTAACTGTTGGCTGCTATTCTGTTGTTCCTCAGAGCGGTGCCCAAAGGATGTTACTCTGAGTTGCTCAGGTCTTTGTCTCCTGAGACCTCCTGTTGACCACCGCAGCAGGAGGTTTCTGACCCAGATAAAACTTCTGAATGGAAATTCTTCAGGGCTCAGTTGATAAATCCTCAGGTTGCAAACACCAGGATCCCATATAGGCGCCAGTGTGTGTCCCGGCTGCTCTACTTCCCATCCAGCTCCCTGCCTGTGGCCCGGGAAAGCAGTCGAGGACGGCTCAAAGCCTTGGGACCCTGCACCTGTGTGGGAGATCCAGAAGAAGCTCCTGGCTCCTGGCTTCAGGTCGGTTTAGCTCTGGCCATCGAGGCCATTTGAGGAGCAAATCAAAGGATGGATGATCTTTCTCCATGTCTGTCCTTCTCTCTGAAAATATCTCTCCATAAAAATTAATACATTTTAAAGATATATTATTTATTTGAAAGGCAAAGTTATATAGAGAGGAGAAACAGGGATCTTCCATCCATTGAGTCGCTGCCCAGATGGCAGTGATGGCTAGAACTGCGCCATTGAGGAGCCAGGAGCAGGAAGTTTCTTCAGGGTCTCTCACATGGTACAGGAGCCTGAGGAGCTGGGTCACCTCCTTTGCCTTCCCAGGCCATAAACAGGGAGCTTACAGATTGGAAGTGGAGCAACTGGGCTAGAACTGGCACCCATATGGGATGCTGGTACTACGGGTAGAGGATTTAGTACTAGGTCACAGCGCCGGGCCCCTTTGATTCCTTTGCAGTTTTCCCCACTTATCTTCTGAATGCTTGTACTTTTCCAGTCACGTTTCTCCAGCCAGCCTGTGACTCTGCCACTTACCTGGTTCAGGCTGGGGGATGTTAACTCCCCATTGGAAGCTGGAGCAGTGCTTGATCCAAGGATGGTCTCACTCTGCAGCAGCCCGCTTGGGGCTCTTGGATGGAAGGATCCTGACTGAAAATGTCCTGAGGTCTCTTCTCTAAGGTTGCTCCATTGCTGCTCTCCTCTGGCCCATGAAAAGAAGTCTTCCAGTTTTCTACTGAGTCGGGGCGTGTGGGACTAACAGCCACTGCAAAGTCAGAGTGAGTTTCCTGGTGCCAGATGGGTGGGAGCTAGCCTCTGTATGATAAGGAGAATTGGGGCCAGAGTGGTAGCCTAGTGGCTAAAGTCCGCGCCTTGCATCTGCCAGGTTCCTGTATGTGTGCTAGTTCATGTCCTGGCTCCTCCACGTCCCATGCAGCTCCCTGCCTGTGGCCTGGGAAAGCAGTGGAGGACGGGACACTGTGCCTGTGAGGGAGATCCAGAAGAAGCTATCTCCCAGCTTTAGATGGGCTCAGCTCCAGCCACTGTAGCCACTTAGGGATTGAACCAGCGGATGGAGGATTTTTTCTCTGTCTTTCCTTCTCTCTGTAAATCTGCCTTTCCAATAAAAAAAAAAAAAGCAAATAAATAAATCTTAATAAAAGAAAGAAAGAAAGCAAAGAGAAGGGGAATTGGGGGATTGGGGCAGCAAGATGAGGAAAAGCATAGAAGCAAGCCTGAACTGCTCCTGTTCAATAACCGTGTTTCTAGCCCTCTTCCTGGGGCAGCTTAGGGGCTCCCCCCGCCTGCACCAAGGGGCTGCACTGTGCCGATGGGGCCCTGGGTGGAGTTTCTGAAATTCCACCCTGGGAAAGCCCAACACCCAGCAATTTCCGCATAAACCCACTCTGAGCAGACGAGGCTCTCAGGCCTTGCCCAGGATGCCCACCTGGTCTACCCAACACTCAGTTCTCTTCTTTGAACTTGGCTTCCCCGCTTGCCACCGCCCTCTGTATGACATCTAAATTCTGTCTTGTGAGAAAGCAGGAACCTCCAGCAGCCATGGCCACTAACACCAATTCAGGGTGTGCAGGCTCGTGTCCTCCCAGGCTGTCTTCAGCATGGAGTGCCCCGTTCTCAGAGGCCTGGGAGTCCCAGGCCCTCCAGTTCACCAGCTGACTGGCATGGAAGCGGCAGAGCTGCCTGACCTTGACCAGCCCTAGCCAGCCTTCCACCTCCAGGGTGGATTTTAGCTTGCCAGGGTTGTTAAGTCACCTTCCATCAGGTCAGCTGCTTCTCTCCAGCCAATTGGTGTCACTCTCTTTGTCCTTCTTCAAACTTTAGTTGAGACTGAAATCGCCATGAGCATCGCCAGAGGGAGAGGGAGGGGAAACAACTCCTAAGACGTAGTACTGTTTTACAGTCACAAATACTGCATCTGTTGTTTCAATGTAAAAGCAGGGCAGGGCCCAGCGAGATGGCGCAGTGGTTGAGGTCCTAGCCTTGCATGCCCGGGATCCCATGTGGGCGCTGGTTCTTATCCCGGCGGCCCCACTTCCCATCCAGCTCCTTGCCTGTGGCCCGGGAAAGCAGTCGAGGACGGCCCAAAGCTTTGGGACCCAGAAAATCTTCCTCTCTGTATATCCGCCTTTCCAATAAAAATAAAATAAATCTTTAAAAAATAAATAAATAAAAATAAAATAAATAAAATAAATTAAAAAAAAAAAGCAGGGCAATGCAAAAAACTAAGTTGGCACTCAATGTTTAAACTCAGGAATATTTATTTATATGTTAAATTTATTTTTTTTTTAAGA